TCAATCTTTAAATTCAAGCATCATTCGTAAACGTCACGGTATTATCGCTGAGATGGAAACAATGTTAAAATTATGGTGTGATAAACAAGTAATTGTGAAAAATTGTATAATAATATAATTTGTTATACATATGTATTATCTAAGATTTTATTAAACATTTTTTTTTCTAAATTATTGTTTTCTTTAGTCTCCGGTCCCAATTAAAAATAATTTGTATGTATTTATATGCAAAATTATACCCCGACTTACGCGAATTCGACTTACGCGGTTATCGCTCGGTCCCACCTATCGCGTAAGTCCGGGGTATGACTGTATAATAAAACAAACATTCATAACGTAGCAGATGATGCAAAATGCAGGCTTTGCAAAGAAAAGGGGCCTCCCAATGGCCAAGCGATTCTGTTCCTTGGAATGTTAATTTATTGACTTAAGAAAAATCAGTTTTTAGATTTTATTTTTTGTTAGTAAAAACAACATTAATTTATAGTGATATGAACCACTACAGGCTCCTAAGTTTTCTCCGAACCCGGGACGAAAATCTCCAGCAACATTTCTCAATGGCCCTGGTCGCATTTACAAAATTAGAAGGATCACAAATTGGAATTTTTCTTAAATTTTTTAAATTTTAATTTTGGAAACACATACATTTATCTCATTTAAAAAGTTAACTCGATTTTCTTGGAACCAATTAAACTCTTAATGCGATGGATCGATACCAGATGGCCGGCATAATGAAAAACATATTAAAGTGTACGTTGTTAAATTTCCGATACGAACTCTTAAAAAACCGTTCTAAATGTAGTCATACATTCCCGGGTGTTTCATGGCACAATAATAGGAAAACAGAACATTTATTCGTAAAAAAAAGAAAAATCACATTAATCAGGAAGGATCACTGCTGTATTTGGTCAATGTTACAATTGACTAAATAAGTAGTGATCAATTAGACCAACAGACTATAATTTTTCTTGTCTTCGATGGTTCCTTTTGTCTGACGTAAAGGTAACGAAACACGAGGGAGTTCTGTCAAGAAGGGGTGCCACCCGAGAGGACTTTCTATTAGAAACTGGATCGAATTGGTGAGAAGAAAACGCGAGAGATGGGCGATCTACCAAGAAGGAAGCCTCTCGGGAAGACTTTTTATAAAAATCTAGCCCATGTTAGACATGTGATAAAAACCTTGAAAACACCACGTGTCTGCCGCTGGTAAGGCGCGATGTCTTCAATGGTCTTTTCTTGTCATCAAAATCGTTCCTCCGGAATGATCTCCTTTACTGAAAAATATAAAAATAAAAATACAATTTCACGGAAATAAGACAATTCTGACAACTCTGAATTAATTTAATACATAAAAGACATTTCGAATAACTTTAGTAATATATTTTTTTCTTGTTTTGCATATTTTGAATTCACAAATAAATTTATATTAAAGTTTTCTTCTGCTAAATCTGTTTATACTATGAAGTTCTGCATGGGCAAAGAGTAACCGTGTCTTCAAAACAGCTTAAATGCGCCAAAATTACTAATATATTTGTACTCAGCGTAAAAAACCGTGCAGGAAGTAATTTTCTCAGTTTTTAGGACGATGTATTGTACATAGTCTAAAGTCCAACCTAAATGTCCAGAAAGTATTTGTACGTGGGCTTCGCCCTGTTTAAAAATGTACCAGGGAAGAGCTCTTGCACGACTACAACGCTGGCTTATTTTTAATCTTATAACTTATAGTTGGTTTGGCGGGAATTGAAAGGGACACGACAAGTGGTAATAGTATAAATGAGAGCAGATCACATATGATCCATCAATCTAGCTTGGTATTCATATCGTGTAGTTGAGAACAACGTAACCTGGTAACAGTGTTCTAACCTAAATTCGTGTATAAATTCAAACGTTATTGTCTACTTACAATCATCAGGGATTTCTTACATCAATTAAATCTTCTGATTCTAAGGGGATGATTTTATTTAGAAAGATTATATTTCCTTTTTAAAAAAAATAATACATTTTCATTCAAACAAACATTTGTAAGGAATGTGTCTTAGAGACTTAATGCCCTCTTTCTACGTATGAAAATGATCGAATTTAAGAAATAAATTACAATATACTTCGTAAAGAATTCCATTAAATAAATACCCTAATTTTAGAGGATTTATATAATAAAAACATATTTAAAGTACTAGTTTTCCTACTGTTCTACTATTAATGCAACATATTTTCAAATTATTAGATAATATTTTTAGATAACACATGTTTTATGTTGTTTTGTTAATATCGTAAAAGAAATTAAGAAATATTAAAAGTAAGCTCATCAATCCTACTACTAATAGTAAATGTGTACAATTCAATTAATTTCTGAAGAAATGTAGAAGATTCCAAAGTAACAATCCATTTTCTATAACAACAAGCTGTTATCCATCAAAACTGACGAGGAGGAAAAATGAAAAATTGATTTTTACTTAAAAGCATGCAAGCTTCATCGAACTATAAAATTTATTTATCATACCTTTTGTAAGAACGTGTCGTCTTCTATTAATTTGCCCCGTTGCTCCAAATCTAAATTATAAACTTAATTCTTTTAGTTGAAGCAAAGTAATCCTAACATACCCAATTTTGGCACGCTCTGACAAAATTAGTACATTTAACTTGTGGTGGAAAATGTGCTTCACAGATAAAACTATCGAGTAAATTTAGTCGATCTCGTATTCAAGATATATTTTTTCAGTTTTCATCACTCAAGAAATTCAATTACAGCATTTACGGTGCCATAACCCACCCACACTATAAAATAAACAAAGTGAGATTTATCAAATAATAAAATAATTACACTGAGGGTTCCTAAATCGAATTCGGACAAGGAAGTCTTCAATAATTTTATCGGAGGATGGTAAGGCCCGTCCCTCACTATCCAGCGGTCCCAATTGCGGATCCGGCTAAATCCACAGTCAAAGTCCGACTTGTGGCCACGTTAGTAGACATAGGTCAGAGAGTTAAAATTGAATTTTAATTAGGAATGTCTCGACAGACTAAAAACACATTTCCAACTTCGTGTCTAAATAATCGAAACAGCTGTTCATTAACCTACATCCTACTTTTAAAAAATCCATGTAATAAAACCGATTTACTATTCTCTATTTTAAGAACAATTAATGCCGATAAAACGAAATGTGAAAAAATTGTTTTCGTATCGTATTAAATAAAAAATATCGATTATTCAATATTATTTTAAGCTTATAAAGACTAAATTCACATTACACAATAGAGATTAAGCATAACATACAGTACAAATGTCCAACCTGGCAGTTTTATATGTAACTTTTTTGAATGTGAATTATTTGATTAAGACACACCTGTTTAATAAAATTATATCAATTTAATTAAAATAAATGTATTACGTTATTAGATAATATTTTA